AGAAACCGAAGGCTGAGCCAAAGAAGTGATGTATGAAATTCAAGCTGCAGACAATCACCAGTCCATCCATTGTCCTCAGCTGACCCCCTCGTGTCTTTCTTCTGCTGTTTCAGATCCTCCTCTACAACCTGGAAACGGGGCAGTGTGTAACACAACTCACCGGTCCTTTGGGTGACTTCACGTGCCTCAACCTCCAGGAGAGTCCTCCCCACATGTTGGTAGCCGGAAATAAAGCCAGAAGGTAAATTTAAGCTGGGGCAGGTGGTTGCCTTTGGCGGGATAACATTTTAAAAAAATTGGTGCCCAAAAGCAGGATGGTGACGCAGAGGCAGCGAATCCAAGCATTTGCTTCCTGGTTTAGAGGTTACACATCTGTTTCCGAGTGTTTTCCATCTCCAAATGGTTGGAAATCACTCTTAATTTAGAGTGGTTGGAATTGGGAATGTCTCGTTTAATGACGAGAAGGACGAGGGGGGACATGATAGCTGTGTTCCAATATCTCAGGGGCTGCCACAACGAAGAGGGAGTCAAGCTATACGGCTGAGGAATTCTGGGAATTGAAGTCCACAAGTCGTAAAGGGGACAGCCTCTCTCTTCCTCTTTTTAAAAAGCATTTGGTGGACGCAGTTGGTGCACATCCCAGCGAGGTCTCTTGGAATGCCTTCTCCTTTCTCACTGACAGTCCCAAAATGAGCCTGGCATGGAAAACCTCACTTCCTGAAGAGCCAGCCAAGAAAAATTTCCCAGGGGAGACACTCCTGAAGCCAGACCGTTTCCAAACTGCAGCCAAACTGTACACAGGGGCAGTTCTCGTGTCCCTCCATTTTTATTTTGTTCAAAGGAGTGTCGTCCACCTGAACAGCTTCCAGGTTGAGCAAATTAATAGCCTTCCTGTCCTTAGCCTTGCCAGTCATGTTTTAGTTAGTTTTCCCATCTTCTTCCTAACTCTAGGCTATCTCTCAGATAGCCTAGTAACAGAATAACAAGAGTTGGGAGGGATCCTGGAGGTCTTCTAGCCCAACCCCCTACTCAGGCAGGAGAACCTATACCATTTCAGACAAATGGCTGCCCAGTCTAAAAACCTCCAGTGTTGGAGCACCCACAACTTCTGGAGGCAAGTTGTTCCACTGGTTAATTGTTCTCACTGTCAGGAAATTTCTCCTTAGCTCCAGGTTGCTTCTCTCCTTGATCAGCTTCCAACCATTGTTTCTCGTCCTTCCCTCTGGTGCTTTGGAGAATAATTTGACCCCTTCTGCCTTGTGGCAGCCCCTCAGATACTGGAACGCTGCTATCATGTCTCCCCTATTCCTTCTTTTCTTTAGACTAGCCAAACCCAAGTCCCGCAGCCGTTCTTCGTACGTTCTAGCCTCCAGGCCTTGGATCATCTTAGTTGCTCTTCTCTGAATTTTTTCCAAACTCCCAACCTCTTTTTTGTGATACGGTGACCAAAATCGGCTGCAGCATTCCAGCTATGGTTTCCCTTTATAAAGCGGTAATATTGCTTCGCCTGATCTTGATTCTATGCCTCTGATCTTGATTCTATGCCTCTCACAGTTGCTGTGTTTAAACCAGGTCTTGCCCAATCTGTATTCGTGCCTTTGGTTTTTCCTGCCTAAGCTGGATTAAGTGCTGCCTTTGCCTCTGATGAAGGAGAGAAGAGTCCCGTGGTTCGCTTTGTGGCGGAATGGGGATTGGGACCCTCACCCAATCCAGCCATTGAAATCAACTTCCTCCCAGAACTCCATGCAGGAATCTGGAAGTTGGTGCCAAGCGATTTCTCCCCTGCCGGTTGGCTCCGGGAAATTCAGAATTTTCTCCCTGGCCAGTTCCGTCCCTGGGAGACACGAGCGGGCCGGGGCCTCCGATCCAGCGCCGTGAGTGGAGGCCTGGGAGACAGACAGGTTGGGAAGACTTTCGAAAACAACTCGGCAGCGCCTTTGTTTTCCCTGGGCATCCGTGCCTGGAAGCTCGCTCCTTGCTAATGAAGCCACAAAGCCTCAGCCAGGGCTGGGGAAGTCTGAAGGCAGGCTCATTAGCATGCGTGGCGCCAGCGGGCAGCGAGCCAGGCCCCGCGC